GCATGTGTGAGGCAAACGAGAATGCAGTGACCATCAGGCACCTCACAGAAGATGCTTGGTCCAGGTGTTGCTCTAGGACATCATTGTGTCAAACACCTGAAAGGTGGTCAGGGCTTCAGAGCAGGGGACCAGAACAGTGAAAATGGTGCCTGGAGGATGAAGGTCAGTCTGATAGGAGACCTATTGTCCTCCTTCCTCTATCATGGACCTTTTCTTCCTCTGGCTACTTTGAAACCACAAAGCAGCTCCCCCCTCAGAGGTGCACTGCAGTTCACACTGTCTGGGTTCCCCAGTCGTGCAGGCACCTCAGCAGCTCTGAGACTGATGCAGGTCAGCCCTCAGTTCTCCATCCTCACCCACACTGGCACAGGTGCAAGTATTTTAAAATGAATCAAGAAAGAACCCATCCTCCTGCCTCCCACTCACCCAGGGCTGGATTTCCAGCCACCCCAGGTGGATGGGGAGTTCCCTACTCCTTAGCTTCTCCAAGCCAAAAGCTCTCCATCCTTCTTCCTTCCATTTTAACTGTTGCAAACCGAGGGCGGGACAGGTGTGAGACTTTGCAATAGTTCCCAAGTCATTTGTGAGTTAAGGGACAAAAACTCAAGAGATGGAACAGTCTGTGGATTGAGAAACTGTCAGAAGCTTTTGATTTAAACCTTCTACCCTGGCATGCAACTGTGGTATAACTGCAGGTCGAGAGATCACAGAAAGCTTGTGGGTGAAGGATAAAGCATATCATTAGATGAGGGAGCTGTGCTTGTACCAAAGAGGCCTGGAACCTCAGCCCCTCTCTGCCCACCTCCTGATAGCATCTTCAGAGCGAGCCAGGCTTGCAAAGGGCAACAGTTTCCGTCGGCAGGAAGGTGAGAAATGTCCATCTGGAGCTGGTATGTGAGTATACATGTGTGGGTGTCATAGCAGAGTGTGCGCTGAGCTGGCCTCTGAAGCCTGGCATGGCTGGGCAAAGGCCTGTTTTCTCAGTGTGGTCAGAAAAGGGCCCTGCCACACTAGGCAGTGGAGCAGTTGCTGTCAGCCTTGCAGCTGTGCTGCATCACCCATGCAGCAGGGTCCACTTCCTGCCCTATGGCATCTCCCAGCCAGCAATGGGAAAGTGAGTTCGAGAAAAAGGAGTTCTGGGGCAGGTTGAACACACTGCTGGCATCTGGCTTCAATGTGCCAGATGGAGGGAGGCAGTGGGTCTGATTGTGGCACTGGGTGATGCGGCTGGGGTGTTGCATCACCCCTTCTCCCTCCCTGGACTCTGGGAGATAAACAAGGCTGAGTTGTAAGTGAAGCAGGTTGTCTAGGTGGTTTGGGAGAGGAGGAGGGACACCAGGCTGGGGCAGAGGGGAAACCTGCTATGATACAGTGTGGCAGCCCCCTGAATAGTGAACTGATGTGAGGCAAATCTTGCGCTATTGCTGGCAGCTGGTGCAAGGCCTAAGGGGCTGCCAGAGATGCTTCCCATGACTGCACTTCCTATGCTGTGTCCCTGCTCTCCCTGGTGCTTTGCATGCAGGCACATTCACCTGTGCCCATCTGAGTGCCCCCAGCAGGGTCAAATATCTCCTTTTATATTCCTTTTCTTGCCCTGTTTCTCTTTTCCCCTTTCCCACAGCTATCACAGGGCAAGGAGCTATTCAGCTTCTCCTGAGTTTTCCCTGACATGTGCTTTCTTCCTGAGAGACAGCACCATATATGGTCTTTCACCTCCTCTCTCCCACTCCCCTCTTTTTGTACCTGCAAGACCACAAACCTGCGGGAAGCCCGTTTAAAGGGCCAGGCCTGTGGCAGATACCTTGAACAAGCCTGAGATGCAGCCACAGAGCCCCTTGCAGCAGAGTTTGGATCAGTCTTTCAGGGGAAAAGAGAGGCACAACTACAGAGGTAGTGCTATAGCTGCACACCCCAGGGCACACTTGCTTTGCCCAGGAGAGAGATACTAGCTGTCACCAACCCCTGAATCACATTCCCCAGGGCAGATCCATTGCATGGAAAAGAACACATACTTGTGGTGAATGAAGTGGCCTTCAGGGCATGGGTGCACTCACTGGCAGGGCAGCAGGGCTGGTCTGACCCAGTCTAGACCTTGTTCCTTGTACGGCATTACAGGGTCCACCTTGCCTGAGCTGAGCCTGACCTACAGTTCTGACTCCTCAGTCAGGCATCTGTGGTGTGATGGGTGGCACCAGCTACAGACCCTGCCTGTCACCATGCATCTAAGCCCCAATGGATTTGGCTGAAGAGACTCTTCAGGTGGCAAGCTGCAGGATTGAATCACAGAAAACTTTTCTTGAAGGTCTGGCTACACATTTCCGGTCCCCCCTCCTCTCTCACTCTTCACCTTTTGTAAGCGTGACAAAATCACCTCCAATCTAACATCATCTCAGCTCAAGGGGCTAGGAACATGCACAAACACAACCACTGCACTTCCTGAGAACACGTTTCTATCTGCTTCCTCAGAAATAAATAAAAAATGGGAAGAAGGCTGGGCTCTGACATGAGAGAGTATTGCATTTGCTAGGATATATATAGCCCTAACTTTGGGCCTGACACAGGACCAAAGATGCCTGTAAGGATGCATATGATTATGTTTTCTACCTCTTGCCAAATGAAGTGCCTGGTACACATCAAACCACAGGAGAAGCTGTGTAAAGACAAATTAAACTCAAAACAGAATGGCCTATACAGGCACCTTGTTGTATTTTCATGTCTATTCTTCCACCTCAGCAGGAGACCTCTCAGTCCAAAGATGATAAAGAAAATCCCATGTACCTCTTTGACTTCCATTGAGACTTCCAAAAGGTATCTCCCTGTCCTTAGGATTCTAATCCTTCTAGATTGTCCACTCAAGCTTCCAAGACTCCACTCCCTGCTCATGTCTCCCTTTTCCCCCCAACTTTATGGGCAATTACTACTTGCCTTTCCACCTCTGACCTGAACCTAAAGCCTTTCTCATCACACACAGGTCTTCCAAATATGCATGTCCAGCTTAACTCTGGAAATCCTACTCACCCCAGTGTTAGGAAGCACAAGTGTTCAATCAACAGTTTAATGTCCCTCTTATGTCTGTACTTTCTGGCCTTTACCTCTTGGCAGAGACAAAAGAAATGCCACAGGGAAAACAGAAAACACACATGCTTCCTAAGTACTTGATAGAAGGACGTACTAAAAAAATCACAAGATAAAGGGTCTGATCTCCCTTAAGAGAACTCCCACAGTAGCCCAGCCTTCTTCAATATAATTAAGTACTTGAAGCCTACTCCTATAACCCATTGTATTGTCTTGGGTTTCTTGTAATTTCCAAAGACTCCTTCTTTGAATTTGCTTAAAGTTTTCCCAGAAAAGAGGAGAGGGTTGTCATAATTAGAAGTGTTCAAGCAGTAAATATCTTCAAGGTAATGGTTCTTCATAAAGGAAACAGACACAAGACTGCCAAGGATTACCCAGGGAAGTTTCAGAGCTGAGTTAGACTTTGTACCTCTCTCTTTTGGGTCCACATCTTTTCCATCACACCATTCAGCAATAACCAGTGCTAGAAGGAATGGGTTAGGAGAGAAAAACAGATTTAAGTGCAAAACAACCAAGGAAAAAAGTTTAATACCATTGAAAAAAATATATACAAAAGTTCTTGTAGTTTTTTTGGGGTTGTAATATAAAGCACCATTAATTCCAGAGTACATCACAACTCAGCCTAATACACCTTCCAGAAAGCACCCAATACTCCTGAAATCTGATTTAGCACCAAGGGAATGTTGTCTTATTTAGCACCAAGAAGCCCGTTAAACACACCCTTTGGTCCCCCTGCCCTCCTCTCTCATGTGCCTCAGGCACCATCTGGCTGCTCATGGGTAGCACATGAGACCTGTTACCAGCATTCAATCACTAAATAGAAAAAGGAGGAAGAATGAAGTTTGTTTCTGGAGATATTCAGTGTTAGAGAGACTTTCTTTGCTTCAGGGAGGCGTGGGGCTCAATACACTGTAAAGAGACAATATCTCATTTGCAGCCTGTTGAGGAAGAGAGAAAGAAATTTGGTCCTGAGCATCACTGCTAGCATGCTGCTTCCTCTGTGCTGTCTGAAATCCTCTCTCTGAGCAATTTCACACACTTGACCTGCTAAGGGAGGGGAAGAAACTCACAGTCTCCCTTAGTTCCCATGATCCCATCATCAATGTTTCTCTGTGAAAAAAACAGGTTTGCCTCAGAGAAACCTTGTTTTTATACCCATTGCCTCATTGACAGTGGTGGGTAGGATCCACAGCAGAAAGTTCCTGAAACTCGTTACAGTCTGTACAGCTTCCTTAGCAAAGAAGGGAGGGTAAGTAAACAGGACAAGAGAGAAAATGTCCTGCAATTTTCTCAAGTTCATTTTTAATATTTGGCCTGGGTCCCTGTTGCTTTGCCATCTCCAGCTGAGTGTACCAGACCTAGTCCTGTATAATGATGCACATCTCCTATGGGAGAGCTCTGGTAGTCCCAGGTGCTATAGGCAAAGATTGTGGTTAATCAAGAGACTGTAGAAGCTAGGTAACTCAGAAGATTTCATTATCAGTGATGGGCAGAAGAGAAATACAGTTTCTCCTGCTTGTCCTGCCCTGATACTCAAAAAAGAGACAACTCTTGGGAGTTTATGGAAGCATTACAACATGTGGAAGTAGGTTTCCTAAAGTGCTGAGCCAGCCTCACCTGCTCCCAACAAGACTGTAGCATATCCCACAGAGGGATGCAAGTGAGAGCAGTGTGAGATGAGTATAAATAGTAATAGAAAACCCAACCACTGACATTCCTTTCTCACTGCAACATCTCCAACCTGACAAGAAGAGCGAGGGTTTGTTTTAGTCACATGCTTTTCTAAGTTGCTCTGATGAGATTGCCAGAAAAGGGCACAGAGTGTAAGGCAGGGAAGCTTTTAACCCTGGGGTGAGGTGCTGTAGTCTCACCTCTATCTCTTTTCCATCACAGAGGCAAAGAGGTGGCAGCCTATCCAGGTTTGGAATTGACTTAACTGCAATTGCCCCTCCAGTCTCAAGCTCAGGTCCTGAAACAGCAGTCCTTGAATACCAGTGTGGGAGAACCACCTTCAGGAGGACAATGAAATGGCACCTCTGCCAAAGAAGAGAGTAGATTCGAGTTCACTATCTAGACTAGCTTTCCACAGCTGGGGAGCCAAGACCGAGTAGCACACCAGGGGAGGTGTGGGAGGGAGGTTTTCGAGGGTTGTCTCTCTCTCTCTCTCTTTCTCTCTCCTTCTTTATTTGTGACCTGTAGTGGTAACGGAATGGTGCGCTCTACTGATTCAACAGCAGATGTGCATGAATGGTCTGGCCAAGTGTCTGGCCCTTTATCTCTTCAAAGAGCTAGAGCTGGCACAGAGGAGGACAATCCCATCAGGCCTAGGTTTGACAGCCAACCTGGACTCTGTGACACAGAAGGGTGTCTAAGGATAGCCAGTGACACACTTCAGAAGGCCAACAGTTCCCTTTTTGGAAAGACACTATCCTCTCTTACCAGTCCTACAACTTTCTTGTGCTACAGGAGACCATCAGACCCCAGTCTGCTCTCCGGACTACAGGTGTCAGATGTGACATTAAGACCATGTTTCAGGCTGCAAAACTGATATGTCTAGTTGGGAAAGAGAGGAGCCAAGATGTACATGGGCAGTGGGGACTTTCTAGACCTTTCTACAGGAGTCCTTTGTGAATGAAGCCTCAAAGAGGGACACATCCCCAGGAGCAGCATTTTAGCTTTCTTCTTGCTCTAGGACTCCAAATTCCAGAGGCAACTTGCTGGCAGATTGGGAAGAAGCCAATAACCTAAGCTGGTTTAGGAGGTGAGGTGTCAGAGATGGCAGTGTCACGATGTAAGTGGACAGACACAAGAGGGCATGAGGTGGGAGCTGGTGTGGTAAGTTTCACACTCAGTGCCTGAGACTTGACAGGCCCATTTCCAAGTGATTTGCAGTGTTTGTGGGCAGTAAAGAGAGAGAGAGAGAGAGAAAAAGAGAGAGAGAGAGAGAAGGAAAAGGCCAAAGAGGCCCCAAGGAAGAGGAGAGGCAGTTATTCAAGACTAGGCTTGACCAAGTACCCACTAAAGGTGATGTACACATCAACATCATCACTGTAAATGGCATTCTCCCGCTCCCGCTTGTAGAGCCTCACCCAGATCTCATCATTTTCCTGAAGCTCTAGCATGAGGCTCTGGCTTTGCATGATGCTGCGGTCACTGGGTTGGGCATACAAGATGACTGCCTCTTCTTCATTGTGCATGATGTGCATGTAGGTCTCCTTGAAGTTCCAGGTGTGGACATTGAGGCTGAAATAGTAAAGTCCACCCACTGAGCAGTAGAATTTGCCATTGAACATGTCAAAGTGGCTGTAGAGGTTGACAAAGACGGTGTCGAAGATCAGGACCTGGAAGCCCTCACTGCTGTGCAGAGCTTTCTTGCGACCGACGGAGAATGCAGCGTACTGATGCTTGCAGGGGTCTCCCGCTGTGCCCATCTGTCCTTTACTGCCTTTCTGGCCCTGGGCACCCCGCTCACCTCGTGGTCCTTCTTTGCCCCATTTCCCTGGCATTCCAGGCTCTCCCCGGTCTCCTTTCTCTCCTACAAGAGGAAGCAGAGGACACAATTCCTGTGTGATACCAGAAGGAGATGTGGAAGTGGTGGTGAGAAAGCCTAATGAGGAGGCAGAGAACTGCACAAGAATGGGGCAATGCCAGAAGAAGGAACACTCCTGAGGGTCATGATATCATTGCTCTTCATGGGAAAGCAGCTAGCAGAGCTCTGGGTGTGACTGGAGTCTCTTCTCTTACGAGTCTCCTGCCCATCAAAGTGATATGGCCCTGCTGAAGGCACCAGGACCCGTCCCTAGGAGACTTCAGCCTGAGAGGGAGCTCAGCAGTGCAAAATACTACTGAGGCTCTTGACCTCTTCTTCCTCCCCCACACTCCTTTACCGCCATCACAGATCCTACCCTCATACCCACCTCTCCTATGACCTAATTATCCACGTAAGATGCACACTTCTTTCTGTAGGCTGGAGAAGGAAAAGAAATGTTAACCCCTGTGGGGAAATATGACTAGAGAGGGACAGTGAGGTGGGTCAGAGGGAAAAGATCCAAGCTGGACTAGGCAGATAGAGCAGTGCAAGTTAGAGGGCTGGTACTTCGACAATACTGGCATGCTTAAGGCATCCTATATAATTAATATTGCAGCTCTACCCTGGGGTGTGTGCACTGCCTGTCACACACTCTGCCCCGCACACCCTTCTGATTGTTGACAGATTGCAGCTGTTTCCAGGCTGGGCAGTTAACCCAGAGGAACCACAGAGCTACAAGGAGTGAGTGGAGCAGCATCCAGCTGGGAACAGACTTTTGCCCGCAGCAAAGGCTAAAAGGGGAGCCCTGAAGGGAGGAGCTGATCTAAAATAGAGAGCCTTTTCCCGTTAGCCAAGCCAGCCATAGCAGGGTGGAATGAGCTGGGGGTCACTGCCAGTTTAGCCTGGAGGTGCTTGCAAATAGCTGCTGCCTCCCTTTGCCCTCCTCCATGTGACCCATGGATCTGGAGAAGGTTTCCCCACAACCTCTCTGAGTGAGGGATATGCACCGACTTCCTTCCCCCCAGACTACTCCTCATAACAGCACAAAACATCTAAACCCTGGGCACGTATCCTCAAGGATGGCACCTGGCAGCCTGTTAGCATAACCAGCATGCCAGCAATCCAGCTGTCACCTCCAGTACAGTGCTGTCAGCCCCTGAGCAGGCCTTGGCATCCTGAGGCCAAAATGGGCACTTACCCTTCAGTATGGTGATGTTGATATAGGGACGGACCTCTGGCATTGGGTAGGGAAAGTGGTGGTGGCTGGGAGGGAGTGGTCGGGCATCTGTGGAAGAGTCCAGTGGGTCACAACAGCGCTTGCAAGCACCAGGGGCTGGTTCTTTGAGATTGGGTTCATCAGTGGGTGCCCCAAACACAACAACAGGGAGAAGAAGGAAGGTCAGGGATGTGCGCAGGTAAATTATGTCCATGGTGACCTAGGAAGATATGAGGAAGTGCCAGAGTGACATATAAGAAGGGGAGGACACAAGGGATGGAACAGAGGTTACCACAAAACATCTTTCTGTGGTTGGAGCCAGTGGTGGGATGAAACAGCATTGTCCTGTGGAGGGAGTTTACATGCTTGTAGTGCCTGGATGTTCAAGGCTGCAATCTGAGCAGAAACCACATGGCCCAAGAGGATGCTCCACGCCCTTCTGCCTAGGCCAGTGGAGATTAGGTGCTGACCCTGGAAGAAGACTTGAGGCTGACTAGGCAAACCATTGGAGCCACTAAAAGATTCAGTCCCCAGGCTGCGATAGAGGAAGGAGACATAGAATCATGAAATCATTAAGACTGAAAAAGACCTCTAATATTATTTAGTCCAACCTCAACAGTCCTTCAGCAAAAGCATGCTGTGGTAGGCTGCTGAATCTGCAGGAAAGGCTGTAAAAAATTCTCCAACCCTCCAGTCACTGCACATCAACTCTTTACGGGAATCTAATCCAACAACACCCATGTCCCAGAGCCTGACCCACATCTCTTGGAAGAGAGGTCTCTACTCCTGTGGGCTGGGAACTTAACTTCAGCCTCTCCTTTCTCCCACTCAATCCCACCCCTCTCTGTGCCTCAGCTCCCTCCCAACAATGCCCAGGGGATTCTCAGGCAAAGCCTAGCACCTTCCCAAGGGGACAGTTGGCTCCCCGAGTGCAGCCTTTGCAGGCAAACCAGAGGCGAGAGCTTCTTTGTTGCCGAGAGTGAAGGACGTGGAGCTGGGAGCAGGCAGCTTGCACAGAAGTATGCTTACGAAAGACAGACACGCCAACAAGCTGAGAAAGCCCCTGCCCCAGCCTGTGCCCCCCATCCCGCTGCCTGCCCCCGGCGCAACGCGGCAGCTCACCCCGGGGACCGAGGGCTCCCCTCTCTGCTTTCCGGCCCCTGCTCGCCGGCTCCCCTCCGCCTGCGGGGCCGGCCCCCGGGCCCATGGCTTTAAGGAAGCCGGCTCTTGGCACAGGCACTGCTCAGCGCTGGCTGGGTGCGCAGTCCGGGCTTGGACCAGCTCCCTCCCCTCTCCTCTCCCTCCTTTTCCCTCTCTGGCTTTGGGCGCTCTCCATTGCAAACCGGCTTGGGTTTCGGCGGCTTTTAACTCTTTCCTAGGTAGTGCCTTTTCCTTGTATGTGTTGTTGGGTTGGTTTCTTTTCCTCTGCCTTTTTGCTTCCAACCAGCACAGCCCTGCTCAGCAAAATGCAGGCAACACAGATCTGCACGCTGTGCAAAGGGTGGGCAGGCAGCAGGGCAGTGTCCCACCTTTGGCATCTCAGGATGGCCAAGGTGAGGTGCATCCATGCAAGAGACAGACTCTCCTTCAGGCGGGAGGCTACAGGACCCTGCCTTCACTCCTGTGCACTAGTCCCTTGTCCCATGTATTAGCCCTTCACTTGGCTGGCCGTGCTCTCTCCCCAGCTGTGCCTTTCCCTTTCCTAGTCTGCAAACTTCATCTTTCATTCTCTCCCACATTTTTTTTTCTGCACATCACTGTGGCCTCTTGCCCCAGGCATGACATTTGTAGCAGATGCATCTGCCAGCTGGGAGAGGCATCAGTATTTTCCCTCTCTGGTCATCCCCTCTGCCTGGGCAGAGCCCCAAGCCTTGCACTCCTGCTCGTGTCATCCCCTGGTCATGCCCCCTGCTTAGGTCCTGGGCTGAGCATTTTTGATGGGAGGGGTGTGCCTGACCTGAAGCATAGCCTGGCTGCTGGGAGCTGCCTGCCAGAAAAACTGGGGATCTGGAAGCAAACTCTAGATGTGATCTTTGCCCCCATCCTGGCGCCAAGCTGATGAGCTTGTGTTGTTGGGGTAAGCACAACGTGGCTGCAGCAGAACTTGGGAACGAAGGGCATTTTGGAGGACAGAAGAGTGCAGGGTGGGACAGATAGGAGACTTTTCTCACGCTGCAGAATCTGTTAGGAAGAGAATTTGAGGATTCTATGCTACAGTAAAACTTATCTGTGAATTTATACCCCCGTGTGTGTATGTGTGTGTACATATGTATCTTTGGGAGGCAGAAGGAAGGATGGACAATATAGCTCTCTTCTGCAGGGACCAGAAGTGCCAAGTCAGCACTGTGCCTCCCACAGTTTCCAAGAGAAGCTGGAGAAGGTTCCAAGGTTTCTGAGGGGGAGAGGGTTTTGTGTGTGTCTACGTGTGCTTGGACTTTTTTTCCTGTTTCCTTTCTCCCATTTGTTTGGTTTGGGAATGGGAGGCCCCGCTTCCCAGAGAGTGGCTGGCGTTTGGCAGGACCCCAGCACCACTGGAGAAGCAAGCGGAAAACTCTGGGAAAATATGTGCTGTGAGCCGGGGGGGAAGGGAGGAAGGGGGGCTGGGAGGCCTGGAGATATTCTCAGGCTGCCTGTCAGCCTGGAGCTCAATGAACACGGAGTGAACATGCTTCCCAGCCAGGGCAAGAAGAGGACCAAAAACTTTGCTCCAGCACTGACATGCAATGAAACCCACTGCAAGTTGCCCACATTTTCCTGTGCCTCAGTTTCCCCTTTTGGGAAATGAGAGGGGGAAAGGTTAGGTCAATACATCTTGCTAATGGAGCCTTGCCAGCTGACAGAAGTGGGGGTCTGTGATCAGTTGTGTTGTCTTCTCCTGACTGCTGCTGGTGGGGATTTTGGCAGCTGGCAGTACTATTAAAGGCAAATAAATTTTCTGGGGTGCATGAAAACTCAGAGACTGGCACTGAAGACAGTTCCTCTCTGTCCCAAAAAAGCTGCTGCAGTTCCTTACTTTCTCAGGTTTTTCTGCCTGGCTTATTTCCAAACATGACATTACCCATTTTTGCAGTTCTTGGCCCTGTGCCTGGCCTCCTCCACCTTTCCAAGGGGAACAGGTAGCAGGGAGTCCATTGTCCTCATTTCCGTCCCACATTTCCATCTGCATTCCTGAGTTGCTCACAGCCAAGCAGATGTTCTTCATGGGGGACCTCATCAGCTGGAGTCTTTGCCTGTGCCTCATCAGACTGCAAGAACAGCTCACAGTGGGCAGTGAACAGGACTTTGTCTCATCTGGGCTCAGTAGGAACTCACTGGTTGCCAGCAAACAAGGGCTTACCCTAGTGGCATTGTCCAGCTGAGCAGAAGTTTACGCCAGTAAAGACACTTTTGCCTGGGTAATATTGCCCTGTTCTCTGAAGGGAACTGTCTGTACCAGCAATATTTTGCCAGGGCAGCCACATTTGCAGGAAGTTTTGAGAATTGTATCCAGTAAACCTGTGCCAGCCACACTTTTAAGTGTAATCCAAATCTGAAGGGACATTGTGTGTCCAACAATCTTCCTTCTCCCTCATCACACACTCTGCCTTGGAGGCAGCCCAGGGATGCACTGGTTGGATTGTACCGCAACAATCTCTGCTCAAAAGCAGCTGCTTCCTCCTTCTTCTACATTTCCTCCTTTGTCCTGTAACCCCCACCACACAGGCAAAGTAGGGGGACAAAACCTGACTCTCCTCCAGTGGCTGCATCCATCCTACTGACCCTCTCTGCCACAGGTATAGAAGGAAGGAAGTTGATGTTTTCTCCCCTTTCTAGCCCCTGTGTACAGCTCAGCTCCCCTGTGATACCTGTGGATCATCTGTCCTGTTTCACAAACACACCTACTCACATCCACCCACAAACACCCACACACTCACCCTTTGCAGCTCCTCCCTCACCAAAACCTCCAGAGCAAAGGTATCATTTACACCAAGAGGCAGAGAAACAGCTCCTTCTCTTCTCCTTCCTGGCTGCTTCCCCTCCACCACAGCTGTCTTTCCTTTCTCTATTTTCCACTCCTCTGCCCCCACTCTCCAAGAGCACCACAAACCGGGAAGGGAAGCAGAGAACCTCTTACCTACGCTCCCCTCTGGAGGGGTCCCGCGCTGAGTTATCTGTATCCTCAGCTGCTCCTGGTTAGCAGTGTGGGAGGGAGGGCCGGCAGGGCCCAGCTGACTCCAGCCAGATGCTCGCCAAGTGCTCTTATGTAATTACTGTCTTTTCCATCCTGCCTCCAAGGCCTTTGTGAGTGCCTCCCCTCCTGCTCTGGCCCGTGTCAGGCTTGGCTCTCCCTCCCTTCCTCCCGCCCTTCTTCCACCCACCCTGCACAGCATCACAATTTGCTCAGCTCAACAGCTGATCCCTTCTGGAAGCAAAGTTCAAGCTTTTGGCTACTGCTGTTGCTGCCCTTGGAAGGAGAGCTCGTGTGTTTCAGGAGCTGAGAAGTGATGAGCAGCACAGCTCTGTGCTCACCTCCTCTCCATCGCAGCCCGACTGCTGCTGGGTACCTTCGCCTTGCACTTCCATAGTGCCTGCAAACACAGGGAGGGGGACATCTGAGACAAGGAAAGGTGGCAATGTGTTTTCATGCTTCAATACTTTGTGATGCCCTCAGATTATCCTGTAACAGCAGCTGTCACTCTGCCATACCGGGATCACTGATCACCTCTGGACAGGAAGCAGAGGAGGGTAGGAAGAATAGATGACCTTTAAAGGTCCCTTCAACCCCAAAATATTCTGTGGTTCTATGATTAGACAAATCTTTTCCAGCTGGTGGACTACATGGCTGTGCACGAGGCTTGTGTAACAGCCAGCTCTTGTTACTCAAGAGCACCAATCCGGTACAAAATTACTGGCTTAGAATACTTTCTACGTCTCTGAGGATGGGCAGGCCTATTGGATGTCAGCTGTATGGCTATGTTCCTCTTGAGACTTCTGCCCATGTGGGGCCTGGATAAAGCAGGAATGACACGTTCTCTGGCTTTATGCAGGCTTCTGCTGAGTTTGAGGGCACTTGTGCCAGCAGAGATTTCTGCTGTGGGCTGCTTGGCGGCCTGGACTGTCTCACACAGAGATCAAGGCCTGGCAAAGACTCTGCTTTTTTTCCTTTTTTTTTTTTTCACTGTGCATTGCTGAAATGCCACGTGGCTGAGGAGCAGCTGGAAGAGCCCTTCATCTGGACTCATCACTTGAGCAAAGGTGTTTCTAGACCTGGTAGTCTCTGTTAATGAGCATGAAAGCATGAGCTTGTCTCCCACCAGTGCCCCCACAGCCGGTCCGAGACACTGTGCATCTGCCAGCCACAGCTGAGCAGTGTATCAGACAGTGGCTGACAAGCTGCATCAGTTGGAGATGTCTCACAGCTAAAGGTGTATTATCCTGGCTGCCCCTTTCCCCATCAGTAGCTTTTCCAGCTTGAGTGTCCCACCTCTTACCTGACTTTGTGACTCTGCCTGTGAGACCACCGAGTCAAGAAACCATTGTGGTATTCACCCCAAACTCTGGTATACGACTACAATGACTAACCCTACTGCAACCAGAAAGAGCTTGCTGTCTTGTGAACATAGAGCCAGCAGTTTGGCTGGGTAGGAGACATCAGGTGACACTGCAGCCTGTTTGAACCAGTTCTTAAAAATAACCTTCACCCAAGCCTACTGCCTTCTGCTTCTATGCATCTGAGTGCATCTGAATGCCTCCTCCTCCCATCCACTCCTGTGTAGGCCCAGAAGTATTTACTCCTGTGCTGTCATCTCCTATACACACTCCTAGCCCTGCCCTGATCAATTGTCAACAGCAGATCACTACTGGGGGCATAACAATTCTCATGAGGAGCGCTGAGAAAGGTGAACGATGGTTAGGCAAGAAAACTTTCTTCAGTGGTACCCATGAGCTTTCTCACCAAAGAAACAAACACTTTGTGGTGGGATGTTGGGGCAGTGGAGATGGAGTGGCATAGGTGGACAGGTAGACGGGGAAAGAAGCTGGTGTTTAAGAGCTCTGAAACTCTTGGATCTGTGACAGGTACTTTCCACTAAGGGAACCACACTGACACCATAGAATCATAGAATCACAGGATTGCTTGGGTTGGAAGGGACCTTCAAGGTCATCTAATTCCAACTCCCCTGCCATGGGCAGGGACACTTTCCACTAGACTAGATTGATCAAAGCTCTATCCAGCCTGGCCTAGAACACTGCCAGAGATGGGGCAGCCACAACTTCTCTGGGCAACTTGTTTCAGTGCCTCACCATTCTCACATTTT